CCCAGGGCACCGCCTCCGCCGGCGGCGGCCACGCTGGAGCTTTCCCGGCCGGGGACACGCGTGGGGCCCCCATGGGGCCATCTGGCAGAGCCGGGGGGGGGCCATGGGGTGACCGCGGTGTATGGTTCCTCTTCCCCTTTTGGCTGCTGCTGCAGAGTGTCAGGGCGCACGTGCGCTTGGGGACATGCTGGTGGCTGGGGACATCTGGACACCGGGATCAGCCCCGCTGTCACCTACACCCCCCACCTTTTTCTGCTAAATCTGCTGGTTTGGGGAACAGAGCAAAAGCCCCTCTTTTTTTAAAGCCCCTGGCAAGATCCCCGACCCCGCTGCTGCCAGGTTGTGCAGCCCAGGGGGACGCCCAGCCTGGGGACGTGGGGACCCCGTGGCTCATCTGGGTGTCCCCTGAGCTCCAGCCCTTGTGATACTCCACCGTGCCCCATTAAATGTTTTAATTATCTTAAATTACCGGCGTAGCTCGTGGTCTGAACCTCTGCCGGGTGCCGTTCCTGGGTTGGATCCGTGGCACCGGCTGAGCTGAGCTGCGGTCCGTTATCTGCAAATGGCACCGACAGCGCCGATACGGGGTGCGGGGAGCACAGGGGCGGCTGGAAACGTTCACCTGAAGGAGCTGCCTGAGGCTGGAGGTCCCTGGAGCCCCCAGAGCCCCTGTCCCCAGAGCGGGGGCCCCAAGAGACCAGCGCCCTCAAGGAGAGGTCCCCAGAGCACATGTCTCCAGGGCGGGGGCCCCAAGAGACCAGCGCCCTCAAGGAGAGGTCCCCAGAGCCCCTGTCCCCAGAGCGGGGGCCCCAAGAGACCAGCGCCCTCAAGGAGAGGTCCCCAGAGCCCCTGTCCCCAGAGCGGGGGCCCCAAGAGACCAGCGCCCTCAAGGAGAGGTCCCCAGAGCCCATATCACTTTGTCCCAGGTCCCCAGAGCAGAGGTCGTGCAGCCCCAGGTCCCTTAAGCCCGTGTCCCCAGTCTGTAGGTCTCCACATCCCACGTTCTTCAAGCCCAGGTCCCCAGCGGGAGCAGCCAAGGGGGTGGGCAGCCCAGGACACCCCTGGGATGTGCTGGAGGAGGTGACAGGACAGCGAGGAGCTGTGACCAGCAGAGCCACCCCATCCAGCTGCGGCGAGTCCCTTGGGGACATGGTGTGTGCCACCGACCTCTGCGGTGGCAGAACCTGGGGGGAACCGGGGTTTCCCCCACCCCGAGGTGGCTGTGGGGTCCTACTGCCGGAGGTACCTGAAATGGGGCAGCGGCCACATGCTGGCTGGACATCCCACCCCGGGGGGGGTCAAGGCTGCGTCCAGCACCCATCTCAAGGACGCAAACAATTCAAAGGTCTCTGGGAGCATCGCCCGGACATTACTCACCCGCCATGGCAGCCACCAGGGTGGGGATGGGGCCGGCCTGGCCCCGGAGAGCCAGAAGGATTTACCGGCGCATCCATACGGAGTCAGATCCCGGTTGGTCACCTGCAGAGGTGGGGGGTGAAGGTCCGAGCTGTGGGACCCCTGGTTGAAGGTGACCCACTGCAGGGCTTCGGTTGGAGACCCCCCAGCCGGTTGTGGAGGAGGAGCAGTCAGCATCCCTGTTCCCACGGCTTTATTAATTTACCTTATTACCTTATTACCGTTTTATAGAAATATACAAAATACAAATACACTAAAAAAAGACCCGCTTTCCCGAAAAGGTATTTTGCTATAAAATACAATAAGTTAGCAATAAATAAGAGAGTTGTATAAATAAGTCTCTAAGCAGAGAAGAGATGATGCTCAGACGTGGAGTGAGCTGCGGCCACCTGAAGACAGACCCACCCCGGCCCGTTTGGGCTCTCCTCTCCTGGGTGGGAAGGATCCATCTACCAAATAAAATATGGATTTAAATAAGGGAAAAGAGGGAGGGAGTAAGTTCTTATGGCCTGTGGAGAGGGGTTCTCAACCGGAGACCCCGGGGCTGAGTCAGACGGCAGAGCTGGGGCTGGCACAGAGGCATTTCATGCCACGGAGTCTGGTTTTTGGGATGCTGGAGCTGCCGGGAGGGGAGGGGGCTCTGCCCCATCCAGGTGGTGATGGGTCCCGGCGGCAGCCGGAGGTGATGCCATCAGGCACAGTGGCACCGGGTGACCAGCATGTCCTCGAAGAGGGTGGAGACCAGCCTGCCCTCGCCGTCGTAGTGCATCAGCACCATGGGGTCGTAGCCGGCGGGGACGCAGCAGGGCGGCGGGGTGGCTTTGGAGAGGGAGTGCATGCGGGCTTTGATCTGGGCATGCATGCTGGCCGGCTTGTAGTTGTGAGGACAGGAACCTTCGCAGAACCTCATGTAGTAGCTGTTGGGGGCGATGACCCAGTCCGACCAGCCGATGTCCTGGAAGGAGACCTTGAGCGACTTGAGGCAACACTTCCCATCGCTCTTCCCGCACTCCTCCTCCAGCCCCCGGGCTCTCCTGCCTCCCCGTCTTGTGGTCTCATGGGTTTCCACCTCCAGCACCAACGTCTCACCCCCCGAGGTGGCCAGCAAGGCTGAGACGTCGGCCGTGAAGGCCAACTCCAGGCGTAGCGTGTCCTCGGAACTGGCAGCCCACGGCTGGACGGCTGCCGTGAGGTCCAGGCTTGGGGCGTCACGGTCCAGCTCTTGGTTCTGCAGGAGTTGGGGGGTCCCGTGAGCTCCCTCCAGCGTGTAGATGCTGACCCGGGGGGGCGCTGAGGTGTTGAGCAGGGACACGCCGGGGGATGCCAGTGACTGCTTGAAGAGCTTCAGCTCCGCCTGCACCACCCGGAGCTGTCGGTGGAAAACCTCGGTGCGGGAAAGGAGGAGATGGTAGCGGTAGGGACCACGGGGGTCCTGGTGACCCTGGGGGTCCTGGTGTCCCGGGGGGTCCTGGTTTTCCCGGGGTATGTCCAGCCGGCGCAGTACTGTGGGGACAGGAAGGACAACTGATGTAAGAGACAGCAATCCACCCCGTCAGCCAAAGCTTGTGACCAGCTCCTGTCAGGCAGCCAAACCGCTGCCCCGGGAAATCACCCAAATCCCGAGGGATGCCGAGACCAGGGGGATCCGGCTCCATCCTCAACCCTGGATCACCCAGGACCCCCCTGAAGGTCTCACTGAGGGGCAGCACCCCACACTGGAGCAGTTTGCCCCGCACCCATCGGGGTGATGCCCACCCCATCCCCCGGCTGTCCCCCC